TAAACCACACACACACACAATATCAAATGAATGTGTTTCAAGTTTATTCCTCATGGTGATAAAATAAATAATTAATGTGTTTGTTTATTCCTCATGGTGATAAAATAAATGAGTAAAACATGATGAAGCTTGATCAGAGTATCGCGTGTCGTGGTTTGAACAATGGCAGTTATTTCACAACTGTTTTGTCACAACCTTCTGTCTTTTTTAGGATATTTGGACATTCCTTCAATGGTTTCAAAAGGACTTGATGTGGAGTATCTGGACAGCGTTGCTGATTATGGTCCTGCGGCCACAGAGGGCATTATAGATGACGTCCACCACCCTGACTTGGGTTATTTGGTCTTTGAGCCAGAAAGTGAACTAGCCACAGACAGCGATTCCTCCACTGAACAACCAATGTCTGCTGAAAGCCTCAGGGAGTCTTTGAAGAAACAGCTCGAGTTCTGCTTTTCTCGGTGAGTGGCATTTGTCTCATTTGTCTCAAATACTTTTCTTTTTTATTTGTTACATTAGTTAAGTTTAAATGTTGTTAATCACTGTTTTTGTTTTGTTTATTTTTTGTACAGTGAGAACCTGTCCAAGGATCTGTACCTAATATCCCAGATGGACAGTGACCAGTTTGTCTCCATCTGGACAATTGCTTGTATGGAGGACATCAAAGCTCTTACCACTGACATGGACCTAATTGTTGATGTACTCAGAGGTATTTTTCATTCTTCATGTTAAGAAATCAGCCATTACAATACAGAAATACAGGTGTAACAAAGTTTTAGTCATGATCAAAGCCCTAGTCATGCTCAGTACAATTTCTTTCATGGAATGTGTCTGAATTCTATTTAAGAAAGAAGACAATGATAGACCAGTTGGATCATAGTTTACTGAAAACGTCATCATTTAGAGAACCGCATACAATGTGTACAATGTTCTTCAGCTGTCAGCCTGTGTTTGAGGGACCGTATTACATCTGGCCACAGATGATGGTTCCAGTGCATGTTATAGCACAAGGTTTGACTGTTTCTGTTTAATTCTGTTGCTACATAAGGTGCTGTATATTGGTACACCAGTATTTTGCTTTTGTCATTTTACAAGTACTTTTAGATGCATTTTAACAGTATGACAATGACAAGTCTGTGAGCAGGGAAGTAGTCGGTTCGATGAAGCAGAGTTTGACCTGAAGGATGTAATGTTTCCCCGACTTCATCCAGTGTGATTGAAATGTCTTTGAAATCTTTGTTCTTATAAGAATTGTGCAACGGAGCGTACGGCTAGCTTGTGAATGGATTTAATAATTTAGTTTAATAGCTTGTGCCTTAATTTGATTATTGTGTGTTTTTTTTTTTGTTTGTTTGTTTGTTTGTTTTTTCCATGCAGGAGCCTCTCCAATGGTGCAGGTTGATGAAATGGGAGAAAACGTTCGTCCAAACCACAGCCGTTGTATCATCATTCTGAGGGAGGTGCCAGAAACTACTCCAGTGGAGGTAAATACTGCTGTAAATGAGGGCTGTAACAGTTTGTGATAAGATTCAGAAGTGAAAGAAGTACAATAATGCATGTTTTGTGACTGAAATTTTATTTATTTTTTTTGCAGGAGGTGGAGGCCATTTTTAAAAGTGTCAACTGCCCGAGAGTGTTATCTATTGAGTTTGCACATAACAGCAACTGGTATATAACCTTTCAGTCAGACATGGATGCACTGCAGGTACACTAGCTACAAATGTGTTGATAAAACATCCAGTAACGTAACAAGAAGAACTGTTTAAGTTCGGGTCAAGTGTAATGTAAAGTTTTGCTTCTTTTCTCCTACTGTAGGCTCTTCAATACCTACGTGAGGAGGTGAAAACCTTCCAGGGAAAACCAATCATGGTGAGTTGTGTTGCTGGTCTAAGTTAGATTTTAGGTGAGACTGGAGTACTTCCTGTAATTTATTCTTCTTTAAAGGCCAGAGAGCCCTGTGTTACACCACGTCAGTGCTGAGATGTGGCTGCTCTTCTGGCCTGACTGTTTGGTTAAACATTGACCTTCAGGGTGACCTTGGGATGTGTGTGTACAGAGCCTTGATAAGAACGGTGGAAACCCAGTGGTCTCTCGTCCTTTAGTTTGTCAGAACTGGCGTACATTCCAGATTCTCTGTCTTTTTTTCATTTTTGACCCAAATGTTTAAAGTTTCTTGACATAAACAAAAACCAAACAACGTTTATTTGGCCCCGGTGATGATCAGTATCGCGCTTGGAAGGACCCATAGACACTGTCACTGGCTGAGTGGAGCTTTTTTTAATCTTTAGCACTCTATAAATATCTCTCTCCCCTCCTCCCCCCACGCCCCACCCCCCACTCTCTCTGTCTCTTCATCCACTCTACTCCTGCTAGATCTTGTCCTCCTTCACTTCCTCTCCCCTTTCCCTCCCCCAGCCACAGCAGTGTTTTATGACCTAATGACCGTGAGATTATGAGATCTGAGGGGACTAATGGACACCACACATTGATTAATTCACCTCTGTCACCAAAACAACTGGCCTGACTCACTCCTTTCCTTCCTCTCCCACCCACCGCAGGCCCGCATTAAAGCCATTAACACATCCTTTGGTAAAAATGGCTTCCGCGGCGTGGACTCGAGCGTGTACAGTCAGCCTGCACAGCCACAAGGCCAGTATGGAGCTCCTGTGTACATTCAACCGATGTACAGCGCTCAGCAGCAGTACCCTGTTTATCCTGTGGTGTCCCAGTCCTGGAACCCTCCAGTTGTGCCTTATTTTGAAACACCTCTGGTAAGACTTTGGACCAAAAGATTAGATGTAATTTGAAATGATTGTGTATTCTCTTTGTATAACTACATTCACAGTAAATTCATCGTGTATTTGTGTTTCTTTCTCCTCTTGTGTCCAGGCACCTATTCCAAATAATGGACATATGAACGGATATAACAGTTCTGGGAACTACAAAACCAACTCCAGCTCTCAGAGGCCCATCAACAGAAACCGGTATGTTTAAAGTTACAGCTGAACTCCCTCACTCAGGGTGTGTAGCTGAGCCGGGGAAAACAAGGTTAGACTAGTGCTAACCTTGTCATTGTTCTGTAGGTATGGTGTGCATCACCATCATTTATTGTTACGTTTTTTGTCATTGTTCTGTAGGTATGGTGTGTTGCATCACCATCATTTATTGTTACGTTTTGCCTTTAAAAGAAAGGATAGTCGGTTAATCTTTAGAAAATATTTTTTTGAAAATTTAACACAAGGTTTTGAAAGTGGCATTGTAAATACCTAGAAGCTATTTAACTTGTATACACTCTATATTAAATGAGTATATTTAGCATCATTTTCTCCATCATGTTTAAATGGTTCAAAATGTCATGACTGTCTGTTGTTTGAAGTACCTTTTGATATTTTTTTTTTGTTAATTGTTTTCTATTGACTCAGAAACCACAGGGCTGCTGATTGTCCCCTTCCTCCTTCCTTGACCCTGACGAACAACCTCCCATCTGCTCCCCTGGGTCCACAGAACCATCACACTTCAGGAGCTCCTAGTTCTGAACCCGTCTCTCTGCTGTCCCTCAGTCCTAAAGAAACCTTCTCACACGCTCACACATTCAGTGGAGATCCGAGTGGGATCGGACGGGGCAGGTCAGTGACCGCTTTAATGTTATTAAGAGCTAATCTGCTGTGTCTGTATGCCAGTCATTTGAAAGTTGGTTTTTGAATAAGAAAAATTAAATTTAAAACATTTTCCTGATTGGTTGTAGGAGAGGGAATTACAGAGGCATTAGAAGGAAAGATGATCATCATGTGGTAAGTTTATATTTTATTATGAACATATCTTCTTAAAAACATTTTTGAAGAATGGATTTGAATGTTCATTGCTCTTGGATTTTTTATTTTAATATTAACTGATTTTTTTTTCTTTCTTTCTAAATGCAGCGTCCTGTTCCTTTGATGGAGGCTAAAGTGACTCCACCACCACCACCAGATTTTGAACTGGAAGCTTCTAACTTTCCTCCGTTACCTGGATCTGTGGTCAGTGATGGTTCCCGGGGAGAAACCATACCAGAGATGCGCCTCTCTGATGTTGTCCGTGGCCTGAAAGTAACCAACAAGGTGACCTTTGCCCTCCTGTACTTGTTCACTGCTGTGCACTCTGTTGTTTTAGAATGAAGTTAGGTATATTATGTACATATTTACACGTCTTTTTTTTTTTAAATCCAGCCTGTGATCCAAGAAACTACTGATGGTCAATGCACAAAAGTTTCAGAAGATCCTGTGAGCGTTTCAGATTCTGTGGATGCTGCTGATGAACACGCTGCAGCAACGCTGCTCACAGTGTCGTTCTTCTCTTCATGGTACAGTAACTACAACCTACAGTAATATCTGTTATAAATGCGTCTGTATAAACACATGAAAAAACAACTTTACACTCGTTTAATTTCTCCATGTCCTTTCAGTGTTCTCACTCCAGTACCTGAAGAGGATAAAGATGAACCTCCAAACCCAGAAAGTATCGTCTCCTCGCCCACTCAAACCGTTTCTCCAACAGAACAAACCCCCTCCTCCACCCTCTCCTCTTCCCCCTCCTCGTCCTCCACCTCCTCTGCCTCTTCGTCTTCCCCTCCTCCCAGCTGCTGCAGCCAGTCTCCACAAACTGAAACACCTTCTCCATCTCCATCATCTCCAACATCAGAGCTTGTAAGTACCACGGCTCCTGATCTTCAACACACTGTCACCAAGATCATTTCTCTGTAGTGACCCAGTTGTTTCAGTCAGTATTAGGAATAGTTTGCACATGTTCTAAAAATGCAATAAAGCATACCATCTCAAATTATTTAATTATTATATTTGTCACCTAATTCCGTTTAGAAAAATTAATACATTTTGATACAAATACCTGCAACAAGTTCCGCAGGTCATCTTCCTTGCGATGTTACCGTTTCAACATTTAATAAATACAATTAAGTTAGTCATTGGAAACCAACAGACATATTCTGGCTTCAGTTGTACTTTATTGTACCACATCAGCTCTGTGTTTATGTGGATAGAAGTCTTCATCTGTGAATTGTTATTGTCCTCCCTCCAGGTGCTGAGAAAACTCAGTTATGCTGAGGTGTGCCAGAAACTGGCCAAGGACAAGCCTCAGATGACTACACCGTCACCTCCCGCCTCTACAGCCAGCCAACCGCTGCAAGAGCTGAAAGTCAACGGGAAGGAAGACTCCAAGAACCCCGGCATGAGACGCTCAGCAGAGAAGCCAGAGAAAAACGGAGACGGCCGCCCCCCTCGTCAACCGTTACGTTCCTTCAGAGGAGGCAATCGCCAAATCGGAGCTGGAGAGCCTGGTCCCAAATTTCGAGAAAATTATAGAGACACAAAGGGTGGCAAACAGTTTATACCACAGAGAGGGTCCAGACGCAGTGGTAAGGAACAGAACATTCCCCCAACATCACAAAAATAACTAGAGTAGGAAAAAAAACATTCAGCCTAGAATGAAACTAAAAACATATATGTATATATGTACATACATAGAGAAATATATTTTATTTGGCAGGCTTTGTCAAATTAAACATAGTATCAGATCAGAATATATTTGAATATACTGTAAACAGATGTTCCTTGTAGGAAGAACGGATATGGTTTGCAAAAAAAAGCAATGCAGACAGGTGATAATTTACAGTTTTATCACCATAAAAAAAGAGAAAAATAACATGATCTTGTTTCTTTCATTTAAAACACTGGGTAAGCTTTCAACCTAACAACCACAATAACGTGTGTTATTTTTATTTATTATTATTTTCATATGATGTATCCTTTCATTAGGATTTGTTAACCTGTTTTTGGATTATTGTCAAGAGACTGCAACATTTACCCTGTGATGACCTTATGACTTTATGGCATTCTTAAACAGGGATATTGTTGAGCAGATTTGATTAATGTAGAATCCTGCAGACAGAAGCTGGTAATTATCTTTACCAGAAGTTAATGGTAGTTTTCTTTGTGGTGCAGAAATGTTAGACTCTCACAAATAGGTTTGCTTGTATAATTTTTTCTGCATATTTAAGTTTAGTTTAGGTTTTTATTCTTGGTCTAATCAATTAGTACAGGATGATTTGATGTGAGCAGAAACTCAGATAGTGATCTTAAATACAACTCCAACTCTTCAGGAAGTCTTTTCTCTGCGATTTAGAAAGTTTAAAAGTGTTTCAGTGAATTTACATTAGTGTACTGTGATGACTAATGATACAGTGTAGAGTAGATGACGTGTAGGCCATACCTCCAGGAATGTGTTTGACGGATACACAACCCTGTGTTTGTGTCAATCCTGAACTAATGGAAGTGATGTTTAAATTTTTAACCGAACCAGAGAATAATTTTTTTTAAATTTCGTTTACTTGGTAATGCTCAAATCTTTGTTGGGTTTAGTTGTCACTCTGGACAATCAGTGCTAGTTTTTGGATTTTACAGCAGAGGCTGTATACAGTAGTTTATGCACATACTGGCATACAGATTATGATGTCCACAGATGGATTTTCTTTCTTTCTTTTTTTGTTTGAGCAGTACTGTTTTTCTATTTCTATAAAAAAATAACCACATCCTGGAGTTTAAAAAAACAAAAAACATGTGTACCATTGAAACAGCTGTGGGAAAATAGAACGACCCCGGTGGTGTTTACAACGTACGAGTGCATTCCTTTGGGACGATTTGCTGTTTAGTTCATCATTAACATCATAGACAAGTTTGAAATAGAATATAAGTTGGTGCTTTTTGCAACCAGCAGAACAGCAACCTGAGAAAAATCAAACTTCTGCAACGTGTTTGCATCTATTTTCATAAATGATCTGTCGTAAGTCAACAAAAGTGTCTGTCAAATGTTATTTGATGTACATATAGAATATACATTGGTTTTTGAGTTTTACTGCTGGTGATGCTCATTAAATTCACTGTTCTTTCCCTGTTCCCATGTGTGTTGTTTCTTTCATGCTGTTGAGTTTTTCTAATGTCTGATTTGTCTGTTATGATTTACTGTACATATTGGATAATAACATAACAGATAATTCTGAATAATAAAACCTAACTCATTGGAAAAAATCTATGGTGAATGCCATTTCTAATCAATAGTTAGTTTTATTAATCTTTAACTGTATAAGTGTGTTAAAGAGAGAAAGATTGAACTGTTCACTCGTAACACATTTTTAGTGCTTTTTTTTTCATTTGACCAGACAGAGTTAAGAGCATGAGTTTTACTGATCCAGATTCTTGAGTGAGTCATGTACTAGTGCATACTTGTATTATATTTATTAAATAAACTAGTGTCTATGTGGAATTTTTTTTTGCCAGCTTTCCAATGCAAATTAGTCTTGTATGTCCTGCCTATAACTATCACACAATAATAATAAATATTCACGGCCTCACAAAAAAAACATTTTATTATTTATTAAAACTTTAGTATCCCCTATGTTTTAACTTTTTCATAGGAAACAGAAGTTTCAAACTAGATATAAAACAAATTTATTTACAACAAAAACTTGAATAACTAACCAGTTATTCAAGGTTTTGTTGTCAACAAAACGTGTGTTGAGTAGGATTAAATGGATGTAATGTAAACATGGTGGCCCTGTTACGTAATACCTAAAGAGGATTGCAGTTCTCGTTGGGTTCACCTGTTCTCGCGGTGTTTGGCGAATGGAAGTGTCAGAGTGTCAACAACGGGCAGACAGCAGTAGTAGTAGCAGCAGCAGCGGCACTGTCCGGAGCTGGGAGGTGGGAGTGAACACGCTGTCCTCACGGCGGGTGAGACGAGACATTTGTTTTTCAGACAATTTGGCGATGATTTCAATGCTTTATAATAAACGTCGGAGTAGACGAAGTGTGTTGAGATGTATCACCGACCACCTCATGAGCACGGCTTTCTTTAACATTAGCGCGCTAATGTTAGCGGCTAACGTAGCAAAGATGTTGATATGAACTGCAGAGGTAAGCTGGCGAAGCTTTGGTTAGCTCTAGCATGGCTGTCTGGGTGTTTTGTGACTAACAGCTCGGGTGGATTCTCTGTGAGGTCTGTTTATTCGACTGTGGTATTTTAAGAGTGTGCACGATATTAACATTGTTGTTTCGTGTAATGACACAGCTGCCAGGTTTTGTAAATACAGCGCTGTGATGCAGCTAGCAGACTAGCTCACTGAAGGCCTGTCGTTATGTGTAGGAAGATGTTAACCAAAGAATTGTGAGATGAACATGGCCTTTACTCCGTCATCGTAGACTCACCTGAAGATCTAGAGTCGAACGTCACGGACAGTCTAAAGCTCTTTTATTGTCACAGACACAATGACACTACATGGTTCGAGTTGTGAAACCTTCTTCTTTCTCCCCTGCTGCAAAGCAATTTCTTCCAGCAGGCCTGTGATTGTCAGACTGTTTCCCCCTATTATCGACTTATTAGTGCAGCTGCATGTGTCCAGGTTTGTGGTGACAAACGGTCCTGAAAATCAACACAGGAGTGATGTTGAAAACTAACGACTACTGACAAGACTGTCACACTGATTATGCAGATGCTCCCAGATGTTACACAGCAGCATGAACTTCAGAAAGCTCTTATTAAACACAACAGTTGGACCATAACATTCAGAGCACACCAGAGATGTTGGTACACTTTCCAAAAACTCTGGTTGAGTAGTGCACCCAAACAGTTTGAAGGACAAATAACAAATACTTTTTCAAGACCAAACCTGCATAAATATCAAGTTGGGACAAGAAATGTTTTTCCACTGGGACATGTGTCTTTTTCATTTGTTAGATGATGTTATCTTTTAAAACCAAAAAATACAAAATGTTCCCTTTTTGAATGCATATTTTTTTACACATGATTTTTGTCATGATGCCCTATACATTATAACAGGAGACTTGTATGGACAACAGAAGGTTGTTGATCTCAGATGTGCTTGGACAGCATGAATTCAATTTTGGTTCTAGACTTAATTGATGTATTTATTTTTCTTGAAACAGTTTCTAGCAGATATTTTGCAAGGGTTTTATATATATTATATATAATATAATAATTTTAATAATTTTTTTTTTTTAAATAAAACTTTGCTATCTGTAACTTGGCAACAGATTTGGATGAACCAATCAGGTGTCTCACCTCATTCTGCAAAGTGAAACAATTGAAACATGAGGGGTGAAACATGAGCACTTCACTTGAGAAATTCAGTTAAACATGGTTTAACATTTGACCAGCGCCCCCTGTCGTAAAAGCCTCATTCATTGGTACTTTTTCTGTCTTCTCGCCTCACTATCCTCACCTTCTCATCTTTAACCAACATGACCTGCTGAATGTTCTGTCCAGCTCTGTTTAGCTAACCTGCACAAATCTTTCTCTCCTTCCTTACTGTTCTACCTTTCATACAACTTTATCATAAGCACTGTTTTTTTTTCCAGATATTGTGTCTGAAATGGGGGATGACAGACCCTTTGTTTGTACTGTCCTCGGATGTGGACAGGTATGTTTGGATTTGGCATTGTTATTATTCCCCTGTACAATTTTATTTTGCACCTGTTCAGGCCTGAAATATAGGGAACAAAATATTTATAAATGTCCTGAACTGACTGTAGTTGTAGTGAGTACAACTTTGGCTTCTTTGTTACCTCTGTGATTGCAGAAGTTCACCAATGAAGACCACCTGTCCGTCCACAAACACAAGCATGAAATGACATTAATATTTGGTCCTGCCCGAACAGACTCTGTTATTATTGCAGGTAATATCAGTGCCATGAATATCTGTGTTTGAAGCATGAACGCTGGTGAAGGCTCTGTAATAACATTCCTCTGCTTTTGTGTTTTTTTGTTTTGTTTTTTGTTTTTAGACCAAACCCCAACGCCCACACGCTTCTTAAAGAACTGTGAGGAGGTTGGACTATTCAATGAACTGGCCAACTCTTTTGAACAGGAGTTTCATAAAGCACACGAAGACGATCAGAGGTCGAAGCACCAGGTGTGGTAGAAGAAGATGGATGTGCATGTTGTCTTTCTAAAAATAAGTACACGCTGTTTGATTCTTATTTTATTTAGTCTGCTTGTAAGACCGCGCCTTTACAGACACCCTCGGATGTGAAGGACGAGGATGACGACGCTCCTTTACAGGTTGATTCCTCCCCACCCGGAAGTCCCGATTCCTCCTCCTGTATGTCGGAAAGCAGTGACGATTCAAAGGTCAACGCAAAGGTACGATCGAATCAGTCAGAATACTGCAAAGCAAGCAACGCAACAGAAGGCCAGTTCCACATGAACGCCTCAAGAATTTGTGTAAAGTACAATGTTTCCGTGTTTGTAGGGTAAACTATGACATACACTGTTTCAACAACTAAGTGTGTTAATAACTGTCCACAGGTGATTCCCAGCAAGCCCAGCTCCACTCCCACTCCCACCATCGTGCGTCCAGGTTCCCTCCCACTTCACCTGAGTAATGATTCCCTACAGCCAACTCTGCCATCCCCAACATCTGTCATCACTCAAGCTCCACCCTCCAACAGACAGCTAAGGTGAAGTATAGCGTCTTTTTGTTTTTACTTTTTCCCCCCACACAAATTGTGTCATTGTTTCAAACATGTACGAAAATCAGAATTAGTTACAGAGGTGTGAAGCAAAAGTTAACAAATGTTTAATTTTGTCGATAGCTCGCCGACTGGTTCTTATCCATTGGTGAGACACCTCCCTAATGGACAGACTGTCCCTCTCCTGCCCAGTCCAGTTCAGATGACCTCTGTTATATCTGTAAGTATGTTTCTTTCACATTTCAAACATTATTTCATATTAGTTTCGTTTCATTTTTCTACTAATTCTTTATGGTAATGTGTAGCATGCGAGGCCCGTAAACTCGGTGCCCAACATCCCGGGGATACCAGGACCTCCTGTTGGTGGAGCAAGCAGTGGTTCCTCCTCTCCATCAGGCTACAGCATGTATTCTGAGACCAAAATGGTGAGAAGTGATTTTTTTTTCACAGTTTCCTGGCTCCTGGGCTTTTTTTTAATGTGATCTGCTTGTGTCAGCCACATGTAGGCAGCAGAGATGGAGTTCTAAATTAGTCTTAGTCTGGCTTTTGGAGACAGAATAAGGCAGGGATTCTCAGTGTAATTGAAGCCTGGTGTAGCAGTGGTTCAGGAGAGAATCAGGGCCACGTGGGTGTTCTTTTTAAAGGTTCTGACTGATGAATAAGTCCAGTCACGTTGTTTTTCATACAGTGTTAGATGTTTACGATACAATATTTTTTGGCTTTGTTACTGCTTCTCCCAAGTCTTTTTACATATACTTAAGGAGGAAGTAACCTTTTCATAGTGCCAATAACTAAAAGATTATTGATAGGGATGTCCGATAATATCGGCCGACCGATAATATCGGCCAATATTAGCATGATTATGTGGTATCTGTAAGAATGGTTATCGGTTTTTCCCTCCAATATTGAAAACCCGATAACGCAATGCCTGGGTTCCGCAAAATGATGTGTGCTCTAAAATGAGTTCAAGGCCCCGGCGACAGACCGCTCGGGTGCCTCGGTGCTCTGAAGAACTTTTAATAAAACACAATTGCAGTAACTCGTTCTAAACTCCTTTATTGCTTCAAACCAGCTTCTCCAAAATCGCCGTTTTCCTCCTTTCACACTCTCTGCACTCTCTCTTCCTCATACGCACACACACACACACCCTCTCACCACACCTCCTCACTCCCACTCACATACATGTAACTGTTAACTCCTTCATAACATGAACACAGAATATTATCAAGGCTAAACAAGCCTGTAGTCACTAGATGGCAGCATTGTAACCCAATTTATTGATCTATATTGATAATTAGGGAATTGGATGTAGAATGCTGGCGCTCAATGGTATCTCAATTTGGGGCTGGGGGTGAACAAACCTCTGTCCCCTAGGTGGGGGCATGGCTTTAACCCAGTGATTTTCAATTAAATTCTCCCCCACCCCCCGGGGCAGAAACATTTTCACAACCCACATCTCACAAATTCAGATACTGTTGAGAACCTGATAACATGTATATTTTTATCTGTACAAACTACTGAGTTGCTGCCACCTGCTGGTTGTTATCATTCAAGCATTACAGCAGTGGTAAATTTATATCTATGTCTAATATGTCTACGCCTATTCCATTGGAAGCCCCTCACGTCCCCCCCACACCTCACCACGCCCGCCCCCCCAGAGGGGCCCGCCCCACCATTTGAGAAGTACTGCTTTAACCAATCACCTTAGCGGTTGCCACCACTGTATCACTATATCGGTATCGGTAATGAAGTGTTTGGACAATATCGGCATATCGGATATCGGCAAAGAGTTCATATCGGACATCCCTAGTCACTGTCCATAAAGTCATACCTAACAGGACCCTAGACAAACCATCCCTCAGCTTAACTTAACCGACGCACCTGTGCTTTCGTAGCGGTTGAAGGCATGTCTGACTCATCAGGGCCAAGGAACACAAGATGGAGCTGCTGGTGGAGCAGGGTCCATCCCTGCAGTTCCACAGCGACATGAACAGAGCCAGCAGCCCAACCAGAACTCTGATGCACCTTCACCTGCTCAGCCGCAGGTAACAGACATGTCAGACACGTGTCGGGTTCTTCACTGCACACCAGGCAGAAAGGTGGAATCAGACGGAAAAACAGACGTTACGACAAGTAATCAACCATCATACAACACTGTCAGATAACAATGAGGCCACGAAACATTCAGTTCCTCGTTGAAAGAGAGACGCCATTTGATCCACCAATACTAAAACCCGTTCTATAACCCCCAGGCCACAGCTTCCCCATTATCGACAATATTATTGCATTTATTTCTTGACCTTATTGATATATTCGTCTTGTCATGGATATTGTTAAGTATCTGATGTAAAAACCAAATTCTGTTTTCAGACTGAAGCTTGACACCGTCACATGTTCAAAATATCTGGGTTCAATGTTTTTTTGTTGTTTGTTTTGTTGTTGCTTTTTTTTCACTGTTTTTTATACTCCTTTATTTTCATGGACAACAACTTTTAATTACAAGCCAATTAGACAAAAGCTTCCAATGCGTGACCTAAAAACAACAACTTCAAAATATCACATTGTTTTTTTTGTTTTTTGTTTTCAAAATGCAACACCTTTGATTTAGCAAATTAATTACGACATTGACTCAAGTTGTTCTCCTCTTTGTCCAGGTGTCGCCTGCTCAGCCAACAGGAGGTCGACGGCGACGGGCTTCAGAGATGGATCCCGATGAGAGGAGACAGCGATTCCTGGAGAGAAACCGAGCAGCTGCCTCGCGCTGCAGGCAGAAGAGGAAGTTGTGGGTTAATTCCTTGGAGAAGAAGGCGGAAGATCTGGCCAGCATGAATGTGTCTCTGTCGGTGGGTGTTGTTCACTGAACATTTGTACACGCTCCATGATTACTTGGGTTTGAAGGGACATCGTGGTGATGATTTCTGTGCTGTGTGTTTTTCCTTGGAATCAGAATGAAGTAAGCCTACTGAGGAATGAGGTGGCTCAGCTGAAGCAGCTCCTCCTGGCTCACAAAGACTGTCCTGTCACAATCATGCAGAAGAAGGCGGCCTTCTTAGGTAATCATGTGTGGTCACATGACTGAATGACTGAAGTGTCCAGAAGTGTGTCCCATCTGTAGCTAGCATCCATCTGTCACCACAGCCATCTAATGTGTTCCTTTTTTTACTCGCTCACCTCTCTAAGGGTGAATGTTTCTTTCTCTGTCTCTAGCTGCAGGAGGAGAGGAAACCTCCAGGGAGGCATTGGCCGAGCCCATGGGCTCCCCGGCAGCCGTCATCCAACACGGGCCGTCACCTCCCACTACTGCGTCAAGCCCAGGGGCCACCATCAACGGGCTGAGCGTCCGCGCTGCCGAGGCGGTGGCTATGTCGGTCCTGGCTGGCATGGGATCCGGCCAGCCGGGAGGAGTCGTCATGGCGCCGCAGTCGCAGGCCACTTCGAGATGATGTGCTGACGCAGGCAGCCAGTATGAACTGGAGTGGCAGTTGGAGGCCAGATTGTTAAAACGTGTATGAATTGAGGAATTTGCCCTTCCTGTCACCCCTGACTAAGATACTCTCACACCTTCATAGCCGATGATAATCAGACAATGACCTGGCGCAGTGCCTCCATCAGCCTTCACCACGACGGAGAAGTCTGCTCTTTCTATGTGTGTAAATATGAATAACCTGTTAGCAAGTCTGTTTGCAGGATTCGTGTTGGGGGAATTTCTCGCTCGCTGGTGATAGTTGGAAATGGTCTTAGATTGGGGCTTAAACACCTGAATTAAAAAAAAATATTTATCTGGAAATATCACTTTATTTCTGTTTTACTTAAAATTATAGCTTTAGGCCAAATCTGTTGCTGACAACAGTGGTTGCTTATCAGGCTGGCAGTTATACTGTAAGGTAATGTATCTTCTGTAATCTTTCTTGTAAGAAAATATTTTATGCCCGATTCTGGGCATTTATGTCATGTATTAGCTGACACGGTGAAAGTACCACCGGAGAGAATGGATGTCTAACAGCGGCTTGGGAATCGTTTTTAATTGTTTTGTGTTTTTCTGTTTACTCTTCATTTTGTCTGAGAGCTTTTTCTTTTTTTTTTTTTCCGTCCCATCGGTTTCCTTTTGTTTTAATTGTCCATAAAATACACCGAGTCAGCTGAGTGTGTCACGAACCGGATTCCACACAGTTCACGCCGCAAGTGTCTGTCTGAATTCTGTTGTTCTGTTTACTTTTTAAAACATTTGAAATGGGTCCCTTCACATTAACGGTGTTTGTATCAAAACCCTTTGGCTGCATGGATTGTTCTGGGCTGGAGAATACCACTGTTTGTTTGTGCCTCGATACACTGTCACTGGTTATTAACGTGTTTCTATGTGGTGAACAGCATTGTATTACTGATGCTAAAGTTTTCATTTTATGATCAATTTTTTTCTAGTCTAAGTCCATCCGTAGTCAATGGAATGGTTAGCTTTAGAAGCCCCTCGACGGTAATTGAACCTTAATGCATTTATCCTGGCATTTCAGTCTGAGGAAAGAGTAGTGCAATATATTTTTCTATTGAATATCAATGTTCTTGCATTTAGCTGATGCATGTGGCCCAGCCGCTGGGGGGGAGGGGGGAGGGGGGGTTTGGTCTACTTCATTAAGAAGCTTATGTTACAAGTTGTGTCGATGAGTTTTCTTGGAGTGAGTGAGATTGATGATGAATGAACTCTACTGAACCATGGGTGTCCCAGGCCTGGTTGATTTGTATCACTTTAACAAAAGCCGTCTTGTGTCACGTGAAGTCGACTTCATACACATGCAAAGGTGCTTCTTTTTGAAATCATGTTTTGGAAATGTAGATTTTATTTTGTATCATATTGTACTTTTTTTTTTTTCTCCTTTGGCGCTCTGTTTTTTTGTTTTTGTTTTTTAATGATGTCATTTTTTCAGGATTTTTATTTCCACATTAATTTTGGCTTTTTTTTTCCATGTAATGTTGTGTTTCCTCATTGTGCTGAAAAAAGCAAAAACTGTCTTTTATGTGTTTAACAAATGTTGAACCACATGGGGAAAAAAAGTTCTTCTAAAAAAAAATATCTGTAAGAGTGTTTGTCAAATACTCAGGCTTAAGATGGGAAAGTAACGTGTGTATAGTCTCAACTAATGACTAAGTTGTCTCGGGCAAATACAATAAATTAATGATAAAGAACGCGTTTCATGACCGCAGTGTTTCCACCGCTCCTGTGTCATCACACCACGGTAACAAATTAAACGTGATTAACGGTAGAATATATTTAGCAGTGGATCACGTGGTTACATGTACCATATGCACAAGGCTTTGCTCACAGTGTTTAATCCACAGATAAAGAGAACACATGGGGAAGAGACACTGTTCTAATCTGGAGGTGTCGTCATGGCAACAACTGAAACAATTCTGTTATTTATTATGTTTTTATATTTTATATTTATATTTTGCGATTGGTTGGTTTTTATATTTTATATTTATATTTTGCAGTACTTAAGAGAAAAGATTGATTTAATCAAAAAGGTCAAAAGCACTCATTTATCTTCAGACGAGACAAACACTACCCTTTTATATGACAGTGGGTACCACTAGAGGGAGTCCTAGTACCATACAGTTGCTGTAATAACCACTGTTTTATATATATGTTCTTTTTTTTACAGTTTTCATTCTTTTTAGTGGTATATTTCTCCTTGGTTTTAATAATCTTGTTTGAGTTTTTTTTAAAGGGCTGAATTAGAAACAGATATGATGTTTTGCTTTCTGTGTTCTAATGAGGACGTGACAGTTCTGAAATGTGCTTTGCGTGCAAATAGAAGACGCTATTAACGCTGATATGACTGAGATCCTCCAGAGCCTGTATTTACTAGTTTATTTAAAGATATTGTAAGCTCAGATGAAGTAGACTTCCCTGCCGTAGCCCCCCCCCCGAAGGATTATTACTGTTTTGTCTTCTCTCACTCTAAGAACACTTTGTTCTTTTATATTCAATTTATTTAAATCACAGCCATTATCTTGCTGAGAGTTATATGTAACAATAGAATGCGAAGTCTGTTCCAATTTTCTGCTTTGTTACATCATACAGCGTCTTGATCCTGTGGAAATGTCCAGGAATAAAAGAAATGGGTAGAAGCGGTAGAGCATTAATCTGTAAAAGGGCTCAGGATATCATTACAAGTGCAGTGCAACATGTTATGATTGACAGCATATTCAGTCACAACGTCATTGTCACAATATCACCAACAAACACTGACTTTGGAGGCTGTGAAACAAGGAAAGCACAATTAACTTCAGGTATGTGTGTTGGCATAAACAGTTCGTATTTATACTGAGATATGGCCCCTGTGATTGGACTGGCAACTTCAGGTACTGTATGTGTGTTGGCATAAACAGTTCGTATTTATATATGGCCCCTGTGACTGGACTGGCAAGATGTCCAGGAAGACAATATCAGTGAACTAGTCTGGTACTAGTCAGTAAAACTAGCCAACTGATGTTGCCATTGAGCTTTACCACTACCGCCAGCAGGGGGCGTAAAGAGTCCGTTCAATCCCAGGACCCATCGTGAGCATCGTCGACGCTGGTCACGTGACTGACAGAGCCTCTCATCTCCTACAGTCATGGCGGAGTCAGGGAGTCGAGGAGATGGAGTAAACACCACCGCCGCTGGCTCCAGCTCCTGATTCTTTTGTTGTTGTTTTTAATCCATGCTGGACGGTACCTGGTGTCGGCTGCCACTTCGCTAACACCCGGCGACATCCCGCTGCTGTGCTTCCAGCCATGGCCGACCGCGGCGTTGATGTGTCGGCTCTATGTAAAGAGGTCAGGGACCAGCTGGCGGAGTTGGACCTGGAGCTCTCCGAGGGTAAGCCGCGGCGGACACACGGCGGGGTTTTTCAGGGGGCTCGGCTGTTTGGAGCCGTGACGGTGACGGTGAGCAGAGATAGTGGACGTGGAGCGTGTTTACATGTAGAGCCGCAGACAGAGACGGGCGGCGGGCTGTCCCGTGTCTGGAGGCTGACGCTCGGAGCTGCGGCAGTGATTCGGCCACGACTACAATAGTGATTAGAAACACACACAGTGACCTCTTTCTCCACCTGTCATTTCCTCATCACGTCCTCTCTCTCCGCTGCTCTCCGTCGACCTGCTCTGTTTGTTGCTGTTGTGACACTTTATTCGTCAAGAAGTCGTTTCTTAAATTACCATAACCATAACATTCTTGTTTTAATTGACATCAGGCCCGTGTCTAGATTTATCAGACTGGGAAGAAAACACGAGTTTGGGAAGGGCTTTGTTCACACACACAAAAAAGTCCAGTTAAAATGTAAATCTTTTCATTTTGACAATAAATGACTCAGACCCAGATGACAGAGTCAGTCAAAAAGTTCTTAGACATTAATTACAATTTTAAAAAGTGTCAGATTTGATAAAAAAACAAGTTTACAGTTTACTATAGCGCAGTATAAAAAAACATGTCAACAAGTTTACAGTTTACTATAGCGCAGAGTACCTGCTCTTTCATGGAGCTGTACACCACCACTAACAAAACTAAATTATTTTTACTTTAATTTGAACCAATAGCTGAATGTTCAAAAACTCAAACCTATAATTTTGCCTCAGATGTTTATACATTCTTACATGTCTCTTTCATGGCCGTCTTAGCTCAGCTTAAACACGCTCCACCTGTTCTTTCTCCACCTTTTTGTTGACTTTTAGACAGTTCTACATGTTTTAAACTTACGTTACTCCCATCACCTACAGGGTTTATTTTCCACTGGTCAGATTTATTGATGATTTATTAAGTTTCTGACCCAACACTGATACGATACTGTAGTTTGTGTTGTAGTTTGAATATATTGCTCTACTACTTCTTAAAATGGTACTCAAGTCGTCATTCCAAAGTTCTTCTTTTTTTTTTTTGTGAATTATTCTTCTTATACTACAGTAGCTCTTTGACTTGGCTGTTATGCAAATCTCTCCCTCTCACTGTGAATCACGGTGGAGGAGCTTGATTGGAACAGTGCTGTTCTCAGGCACCCGGAGGTGGATGAGTAATCTCATGTTTTAGGAAGAGAGCCAGGAAGAGGGATGTATGTTCCACTAATGATGCTGCACCAAACACACACACACACACACACACACACTGATACCTGAAACTGTCCTGTTCATGTGGGAGGACAGGATCTCAACTTTAATAAGTCAAAGCACACACCTGAACTGTACAACAGCGTATTTTTAACTGTGTTAATCTACACATTTACCGGTTTTAAATTTATCTTCATTCTGAACATGGCACAAAAATCTGTGAATAGTAGAAGTGGGTGAGCTGCAAATTCAAACCAGCAAAAAAAAAAACGAGGTGTAATTCAGTTGTTTATAATGATACGAGTGTCTCAGATAAATTAAATCTTATCAACACTTTTTCCTCAAATGCCATTTCCAGATTGTTGGTTGTCTTAGACTAAATCTGTACCGTGCTAACGTAGCTCTTTAGCTCTAACATCTGACATCAGATTCTACCTGACAAACACAGGTACTGTTCAGGTAGCTTAGCTTCGTTTAAATTAAAAAAATAAAAAAATTTTTTTTTATATATTTAAATCAAATGCAAAACATTAGTCTGACTGTGTTCCCGTGATAACGTTGACCTCGGCACCTGTTGTTGACAACAGGCTTGGATTAATAATAGACTGCAGTTAACAGTGTGATAATGAACGTTGATAACGGGGGAGGGAACGTTTGTTAGCTGCATAACATGAGAGACGGCAAGAGGATGATGGGAAATCGCCCACTGGCTGTTTCTATACAGATTGATTAAAAAATAAAAAAAAAACAACTCCCCTTTCACTGTTCAGGTACCTTGGATCCGTGTCTTTAGATTTGGGATTGTCGTGCTGTTGAATGACGAGACATTTTTCCGTTGAGTGCTGACGCACTGATAGAACACCACTGTTTGCCCAGGCTGCACCATCAGCATAGCAAATATCAATAAACGCTGGCGTGCCAGTGCCATTGGCAGAGACGTTCAGGCTGAGAGTGAACCAATCACAGGGCTTCACAGATGAGGAGTTGGCTGTTTGTTATCATTCCTACACTGGATGTTTTCCATTTATTCACCATCATTTCTGCTACTGCAACATCACAGACATCAAACAGATCAGTCTCTGAACCAGGGCTGTCATACAGTACAGCCCGATTAGATGTGGAGTGGACCGGACCAGTACAGTCATAGCACAATTACCTATAAATAACATTACATCCATGTTTTCTCTCTTTGTTTTCCTGCAAATAAGTACAAGTATATTTGACAATATTCATATTTAATGAAATAGAATTTGACAAAACATCACCAACATGAGGAGTTTGGGCAATTTTTTACTTTTACTTTCAAAATTCATCACGTGGGCCGGATTGAACCTCTTAGTATGAGCTAAATATGTCTGTGCAAATATATGCAAATGTATATTCAGTCAAATTACTCACATACTCACAGCTGACAGATGCAACTTTGGCGGTTTGTGCCTGCTAGCTAGCGCAAAATGGACAGGTTTTTTTTGTCAGGAAATAGGCTGAAACAGCAGACCAACAGTTTATTATTTTGCTGAAAACATGATCATTAATAAATATTTTGAATAGTAAGTAAAAGTAAAATAATTTTAGAAGTCATGTTTGTTCACATATTTTGTAGCGTTGCCGTTGAAGCTAACGCTGTTTGGGAACCCGCTGTTTCAGACCCGTCTTCTCAAAGCACACGCGGCTTCATCTGTATTGACGTTGAACAGCTAAGGGCTTTAACATCTTGTCGAGTGCATCAAATTAGTAAGGTGACACCCCCGGAGTGAGTGTCCGTCTGCTGTGGGCCGGGCCTCGGAGGACCACAGCTCTTTCACTCTTTGTAACTTCAACTCGGAGATGAGCTGTTGTTTATTAAACAGGCTCAGCTCAGTGTCCAGATGCTCTGCTCCTGTGGTCGCGTCCCAGAGTGTCCGAAGTCGCCCGTGCCGTCTGCTCCGCAGCTCTGCACTCGTACGTAAGTGTGATGGTACGAGGCGAGAGGCAGCTGGCCGCCCAACTTTCACATGGATATCTCTTACATGTCAACAATTATCCCATTGTTTTCCGCCGCAGATGATGGATCTCCCCGGCAACAGGCAGAGGAAAATATGCATCAGCAGATTTTAATGCAGCTACTGTAAAGCTGTGATCAAATGTGTGTTGTCCGTTGCGAGAGTGAGTAAGTCCGCCTACAGTAACCTCTGTGGCTGAAATGACACAAAGAACGCCATTGAGGCGATCAGAGACGCGGTGATTGGGCCAGAGTGGAATTCAGAGGTCTGTTCGGTGACAGTGAGGGGGTGTGTGGGCACGGTGTTGTCTACGTTTGTTACTGCGTGAAAGTGACAAATTACAGATTTTTTTAATGTCACAGTTGAATACAAAGCCCTTTGGTCTGAAGAAATGCGTTACGTTCACCAGCTCCACCAGGGGGCTGTGGTCACAGTGGTGGAGGTCAGTGGTTCCAGTCAGCGAGGAGCAGTTGATGCTGTTGTGCAACATAGTTTCTCAAGAAAGTCTGTGAGTTCAAGAGGTCGAACGGAGCTGCAGTATGACTCTGTGAGCCGAGAGAAGGTAAATCATAGAGGTGATAGAGGGGAGATGTGCAGTCAGAATGACAGATGGGTTCATGGTAGGAGATGCATTAGCAATCTGGAGGTAAGGGGGGTTCTGGAGGAAACATCGTAAGAAGATTGGTCAAACTAAGGCTCCAGTACTAGTTGCTCGTTTATAAGAAAATATTGTTGGAGTGAAATTAAATTATTGAGGTTGTAATGAGGCACAGTTTCAGTGGGTTATTATATTATAGATGATCAAGTCACACGCCATGACACTGTATTATTAAACAAAAAAATACTTACTAAAATAAAGCAACATTAGCAATAAAGCAATTTAAAATGCCAGTTCCACTTTGACATAAACACATTCACAATGACAGAAGAAAGTCTAAAGGATGTTTTATTTTGAAAACCTAATGATCCTTCAATGACGGCGCTGTATTACCGGTCCACAGTAACGTCTAATGATCCTTCAACGACGGCGCCGTATTACCGGTCCACAGTAACAGCTGATACCGGCCGACCGGTTCCTTGGTACCAAAAAGGTCGGGGACCGTTGCTGTAAATGAATCACGGTGACGTTTGCCCACTGATTTGCCTCAGATCTCCTCAGCGTTTCTAGACTCGTGTGCAGACTCAGCACCTGCTGTGGCTGTCCTACTTTATTCACGGGTGTGTGCATCTCCAAATGATTAGGGTTCGCTCTGCTGCCTGTCAGCCATGCTGCTGCTGCTGCTGCTGCTGCTGCTGCTGCTGCTGCTGCTGCTGCTGCTGCCACTGATAGGAGGGTTTTCATCATAGCAATCTGCCTGTACTCAGTAAGTCAGAGAGAAGCGAGAGATTACGTCCCCGCCTGCGTTTCTCAATCTAGGTCACAGAGCACGAGGGGGCAACTAGCCTGGCTTATTTACCCTGCAAGTCACACTGGGCCAGCAGTACTGCTGCTGGGAATGACTCTCACTCACTCTCTCGCTCTCTCACTGACACCATCATGACACAGTTTATCTGCCACCCTCTGTAAGGCAACTGTTCCTGCACTTGTTTGTTTTAATTCTAATGAATTATTAAACTTTTGGCTAAATGTACATTCCAGCGTATGAATAATGTAGAGCTGTTTACTAAGAGAGAATAAAGTGCATTTCCTTGTGATAGCAGAGCATATCCAGGATCAGTTAAGATGGACGAGCATCACTACGGCACAACATCAGTTCATAGAAGTCGTGTTGTCAGATGAGCTAATGATGTAAGCAGC